TTGCAGATTTTGGGCTGGCAAGGCTTCTACCAGATGATCAAACTCATCTTAGTACCACATTTGCTGGAACATTGTAAGTTAAAGTACTTCAATTCCCACAGGCATCAACCCCTGCTGGAGATCTATATGATAATTACTCTTGTACGATATTTATACCGGTCTTTTGTTTTGACCTACATGCGGTTCTATCCACACACAAAAAGTGATATGAATCTACTATATTCATGGCCGGTACACTAGGGCGACTCCACTAATTTGATCTTGTGTGACACTGACAGGGGATACACAGCACCTGAATATGCAATTCATGGCCAATTGTCAGAAAAGGTGGATACATATAGTTATGGTGTGGTTGTCCTTGAAATCATAAATGGCCAAAAGAGCAGTGAAATCAAATCTGATGCTATGGGTGAATTTCTACTTGAAAAGGTAACTTCCAAACTCTACATATAATTCTTCCCTGAGATTTCTATTCTGCTTAATTACTTTAGAATTGTAACATGTTTTCTTTTATTCTCTTATTCGTTTATGGAATTACAAATATTACTTGGAAGCAGCAGACCTGGTAAAGGGTGCCTAGAATGATACTCGAATATCAAGCAATGTCATCAACTGAGAAATAAGCTCTGCTTGGCCATGCCACACTGCTGCGATAACCATATTTCCATCAGTGACACAAAGATCTATTGGATCCGCTTCCACAAACGTTCCCGCTGACGAAAGCACACGAGCCTTAATCCCTGGGTATCCAGTACATTTCTTCCCCTGAAATATAGCCAATTAATCCAATTATGACATGCTCAAATTTGCAGCTAAATTTTTTCAATTTCGGGTTTCAGACTTTCGGTCAATCGCAGCGTTCCAAAAATGGGCCTAGGCGGGTGGCTAGGCGGCTAGGCGGGCGCTAGGGGGCTGGGCGAGAGCTAGGCGGCTGGGCGGGCCTCCTAGGCGGGTTGGGTCTTTTTTGGGTGCTGAACTCGGAGGACGAAGCAGCTGAAACCGAAGAAATCGAAGCTTGAGTTGACGGAGAAGCAAAATGGCTGTGACTGCAATCTTTCTTCTGTGAGCGAGGTGCAAGCTTCGTGTTCGTTTCGAATATATATATATATATTTAAAGGGTATAGCCGCGCGGCTATACGCTTAAAGTATTCGAATATATTAATATTTAAAGAGTATAACCGAACGGCTATACTGTTAAAATATTTGAATGTAATTAGAAAGTACAGCCGCCCGGCTATACGCTTTAAATATACAATTTTGTCATATCATTTTAGGTCACTTTAGCTCATTGGTCTGCAGTTATTTCTTCAATTATTTTTTTTATACATGCGATATTGGGAAATGAGAATTTAAATTCTTTTCAATACCTTCCATTCAAATCTGTAAAATGTTGCTACTGGGGTGTGGATGAGGGTGAGGGTGAGCTAGCCATCAGAAGGGAATTTGCATGGTTCAATTCCCCAAGTCTTCTCCGCGTAGTCTCGGATTGTTCTGTCGCTGCTAAATCTCCCCGACCCGGCTGTGCTAAGGATGCTCATCTGAGTCACTTATTTGGATCCGCAAATGCTTTATCAGCAGCAACATGTAGTCATATAGATTCAAATCCCATGCACCATAGTAAGTTATACAACACCAAAGATCTATTGGATCCGCTTCCACAAAGATCTATTGGGTCTGCTTCCACAAATGTTCCCCTTGACGAAACCACACGAGCCTTTTTTTTTTTTTGGTGAAATATGGGAAACCCCTAGAAAACAACTAAACCCCGCACATGAGTCGAGGCCTAGCAAGACCAAGTAAGTCATCCATCAAAAGAGAGCTAACCCAGACAGGGGCCTCATCAAAGAAGCAAATTCCCAAGTCCATATTATAACTCTAGTTTGCCAAACAATCCGCAACACAATTCTTTTCCCTGTAAATGTGGACAAGGTGACAATTTCCAATTGTCTCATGAGATCACAACAACTATGCTCCGAAGCAGCAAGAGGATGGCATTGCAATGAATTGATTTGTTGAACAAGTGAGACAGCAACAGCAGCATCCATTTCAATACAAGGTTAGTGATACCTTTCTCAACAGCAAGCTTTAGACCAAAATATAGGCCTCAAACATCAGCCTCCAGGATAAGACCTTGGCCCAAATTCACAGCAAACCCAGCAATCTAGTCACATGAGGAGTCACGGATAACACCTCCTGCTCCAATAATATTAGTGGCAGCCTTTCTAGAACCATCCACGTTTACCCTAAACCACACGAGCCTTAATCCCTGGGTATCCAGTGCATTTCTTCCCATGAAATATAGCCAATTAATCCAATTATGACATGCTCAAATTTGCAGCTAAATTTTTTCCCTATTTTAAACTTTCAAGAAAGCCCGAGGCTGCTCGCAGAGGTATTCTTCTGCCACAACCACAGAATTCAAAGTTGCATTTCCTCTCGCATATATTCTATTATTCAATTAGCTCCTACTCTAACCATGTTTATATATATATAAACATAAAAAAATTGCTCATACGTGTCTTCAATTGTTTAAATTTACTCATTTTTAGGTGATATATTGGGTGCAGCCGAGTTGCAAGGACCATTGAATTACAAATATAAAGATTTGAAGTCGGCAACAAAAAACTTCAATGAAGAAAACAAACTTGGAGAAGGAGGATTTGGGGACGTCTACAGGGTAAATTATATGCTAAAGAGCTCTAAAATAACGTTCATCACCGGAATCTCATTCGTCTTCTTGGATGTTGTAGCAAAGGACCAGAATTGCTTCTCATATATGAATACGTGGCAAACGACAGCCTCGACAGATTCATATTTGGTAATAATTTTAGGCTTTTCAGCTCAGCTACCTCAAAATGCATACTTACATATACATTTTATTGTTTTATTTGTTCATTTAAAGATCTGTTTTTTTGTTTTTTCCTTCTTCCATGGGAAATAGGTCCAAAATGAGGCTCTCTCTCAACTGGAAACAACTAAATGACATAATCCTGGGTACAGCTAGGGGTCTTGCCTATTTACATGAGGAGTTTCATGTATGCATCATACATAGAGATATAAAAACCAGCAATATTCTTTTGGATGATAGTTTCCAGCCAAAAATTGCAGATTTTGGGCTGGCAAGGCTTCTCCCAGCTGATCAGACTCATCTTATTAGTACCAGATTTGCTGGAACATTGTAAGTTAAAGTACTTCAATTCCCACAGGCATCAACCCCTGCTGGAGATTTATATGATCATTACTCTTGTACGATATTTATACCGGTCTTTTGTTTTGACCTACTTACGGTTCTATCCACACACAAAAAGTGATATGAATCTACTACATACATACATAGCCGGTACACTAGGGCGACTCCACTAATTTGATCTTGTGTGACACTGACTGGGGATACACAGCACCTGAATATGCAATTCATGGCCAATTGTCAGAAAAGGTGGATACATTTAGTTATGGTGTGGTTGTCCTTGAAATCATAAGTGGCCAAAAGAGCAGTGAAATCAAATCTGATGCTATGGGTGAATTTCAACTTGAAAAGGTAACTTCCAAACTGTATATATAATTCTTCCCTGAGATTTCTATTCCGCTTAATTTAGAATTGTAACATGTTTTATTTTATTTTATTTCTTTTTCACATTAATGATTAGGCATGGAAACTGTATGAGAATGGCAAGCACGTGGAGCTGGTGGATCCAAATGAATACAAACCAGAAGATGTAAAGAAGATTATAGAAATTGCTCTGATGTGCACTCAACCATCAGCTGCTCAAAGGCCTACAATGTCTGAAGTTATAGTTCTACTTAAAAGCACTAGCTCCTTGGAGAATAGGGCGCTCACTAGGCCTGTTTTTGTTGATTCTGATAAGAGAGTGAAGGGAGACACATCAACCTCTACTGCTTCCTCCACATCCAACGCCACTGTATCGCTTTCTCAAGTTTCAGGTCGCTAAGTGCTAATTAAAGCAGTATATTTCAACTCTTATACATAAAATTTGGGAGTTTTCCTTTGGATGTTTAGTTTCAAAGCAAAGATGTTTTTTTTCTGTCTACTAGGATTGTTAACAATAGTGATTTCACAATCCTTTTTCTTCGTTTGAATTCCTCTTGGTTTTTCATGTAAAGCACAAATCCTAGTTGTATGCCCCGGAGCCAAACATTTGATGTACTTTAAATCTTTACTATTCAATAATACTGCATAACTGTTGATATTTACACGAATGGTTCATAAAATTGAAGTGGAGAAGAAACTATCTTAAGAGTTGAGAATGAGTTTGGGTGGCTTGAGTGAAAACACTTTATCCATAAACACAAAGAGATGGTGAAGGCATCTTATTATGGTGGGATCATTTGCATCCTCTGGAGCCTTTCTTTTTCGAAATAAGGATAGATTTTAATCATTAAACTAGGAATGTAAACGCTAGATCAGAAAGCAGATTCAAGGATTTCCATAAAAATCATAATCAACAACATTACATAGTTACAAACATACAAGTTCCATCCACAATTGGTACATATAGAGCAGAACCAGAGCAACATTGTTCCCTCACAGATACACACATGACCTTAACATACAAGTTTCTGATTCTGTTTCTTTCTCTTTTATTCGTTTATGGAATTACATATATTACTTGGAAGCAGCAGACCTGGTAAAGGGTAAGAGCAGAACCAGAGCAACATTGTTCCCTCACAGATACACACATCACCTTAACATATGCTCTTATTCTTTTATTGAATTACATGGAGTTTCTGACTGCGTTTCTTTCTCTTTTATTCTCTTATTCGTTTATGGAATTACATATATTACTTGGAAGCAGCTGACCTGGTAAAGGGTGCCTAGAATGATACTCGAATATCAAGCAATGTCATCAACTGAGAAATAAGCTCTGGTTGGCCATGCCACGCTGCTGCGGTAACCAGATTTCCATCAGTGACACAACGATCTATTGGATCCGCTTCCACAAACATACCCCCTGACGAAACCACACAAGCCTTAATTCCTGGGTATCCAGTACATTTCTTCCCCTGAAATATAGCAAATTAATCCAACTATGACATGCTCAAATTTGCAGCTAATTTTTTTCAATTTCGGGTTTCAGACTTTCAGTCAATCGCAGCGTTCCAAAAATGGGCCTAGGCCGGTGGCTAGGCGGCTGGGCGGGAGCTAGGCGGGCGCTAGGCGGCGAGGCGAGAGCTAGGCGGCTGGCCGGGCCTCCTAGGCGGGTTGGGTCTTTTTTGGGTGCTGAACCCGGAGGACGAAGCAGCCGAAACCGAAGAAATCGAAGCTTGAGTTGAGGGAGAAGCGAAAAGGCTGTGACTGCGATCTTTCCTCTGCGAGCGAGGTGCAAGCTTCGTGTTCGTTTCGAATATATTTAAGGCGTATAGCCGCTACAATTGAGAGGTTAATAGGTCACAACAGATCAGCTCAACAGAACCAAAATACAAAGCACTAGATGTAACCTTTTCTTCTTCTTTTTTATTTATCCCTTTTCAAGTACAATCGATAAAGTATTTCAATCTGTTTTACTTTTTCTTTAATAAGTAGCATTATATTAATGTTTTAGTGACAAACGTTTAACCACTAAATGCAGGTAGGAAATATGTTTTTTCTTTAAGAACCATACCTGCAGAACACCAGCAGCAACTAAAATTTCCAGGCCAAGGCAGATTGATGCAACTGGTTTCCTGGTTTCCAGGTTTCCAGGCCATGGCATATCCAGTACATTTCTTCCCCTGAAATATAGCCAATTAATCCAATTATCACATGCTCAAATTTGCTGCTAAATTTTTTCAATTTCGGGTTTCAGACTTTCAGTCAATCGCAGCGTTCCAAAAATGGGCCTAGGCGGGTGGCTAGGCGGCTAGGCGGGCGCTAGGCGCCTGGGCGGGAGCTAGGCGGCTAGGCGGGAGCTAGGCGGCTAGGCGGGAGCTAGGCGCCTGGGCGGGCCTCCTAGGCGGGTTGGGTCTTTTTTGGGTGCCGAACCCAGAGGATGAAGCAGCCGAAACCGAAGAAATCGAAGCTTGAGTTGATGGAGAAGCGAAATGGCTGTGGCTGCGATCTTTCCTCTGCGAGGTGCAAGCTTCCTGTTCATTTTGAATATTTTAAAGCGTATAGCCGGTCGGCTATACTCTTAAAATATTCGAATATATTAGTATTTAAGGCGTATAGCCGAACGGCTATACCTTTAAAATATTCGAATGTATTTAGAACGTACAGCCGACCGGCTATACCCTTTAAATATACAATTTTGTCATATCATTTTAAGGTTTAGGGCTAAAATACCACTTTAGCCCATTGGTCTACAGTTATTTCTTCAATTATTTTTTTTATACAAGCGATATTGGGGAATGAGAATTTAAATTTTTTCCGATACCTTCCACTCAAATCTGTAAAGTGTTGCTACTGGGGTGTGGATGAGGGTGAGCTAGCCATTAGAAGGGAATCTGCACGGTTCAATTCCCCAAGTCTTCTTTGCTTAGTCTCGGATTGTTCTGTCGCTGCTAAATCTCCCCGACCCGACTGTGCTAAGGATGCTCATCTGAGCCCACTTATTTGGATCCGCAATGCTTTATCAGCCGCAGCCTGTAGTCATATAGATTCAAATCCCACGCACATAGTAAGTTATACAACACCAAACTCAAAATGCATATATATGCTTTGGGTTGGGACTGCCAAGTAAACAGAAATAATTACCTAAGCCTCTAAATAGCTCTCAAAATCAAAACCAAGCAAATAGAAGTCTTTACCACCGTCCACAGTATCACATAGAGATTGAAAATAGTCTTTGCGATTGCAAGCTCCGTCCTCTGCCAGTGCAAGCTTCAAGTTTGTTTGAAATATATTTCAGGAGTATAGCCGCGCGGCTATACGTTTAAAATATTCGAATATATTTAAAAAGTATAGCCGTGCAGCGATACCTCATTTTAAAATTTTAAAATTTTGAATGTGGTTGAGAGAGTTGTCATGTTGAAGTTCTATGAGATGCAATGCAGGTCTCAGTTTCACATCAAAGGAGTTCAAGGATCTCTCCAAGTTATTGTTATAGCATCATCAATCTTTGAGTTTGAAGTTATTTCTATTCTCTCTGAGTTTGAAAGTGTACTCCATTTCTTTTAGTACCTATCAACTGTTGAAATGTAAGCATGACACTCTGTATGCATACTTTATAGTGTGTGGATTGGGTGTAATATGCTGGTTCTGTTTTTAATGTTGTATTGCATGTTAGTTGTGTTTGAGTCTTCTTGTTTCTCTGTCTCTCGTTGTCTAACTAATATACCAAAATCACGAAAATCAAGTTTAGTATTGATCTAAAATTTAGTCCATCTTCTACATGCTGCGTATCTCATTTGAAAGACAAGTTTCTGCATTACAGTACATACCTTCTTACTCTTATATTACCTCACAAATGTTCATGCACCAATTGGCAAGCTTGCTCATCAACACCCACAACAGAACGTACATTTAAATTTACAATCAACTACATAGATAGTGAGTTATAGAACAAATAAATCCATAGATTATATGTATTGTCTTTTTGGTTAAACATGTTTAACTTCCCAAACAAAATTTATTTAGGAAATTAGTTAAATACCCATTTCTAGACATAATTCTATAAAGAAACCCTATACCATTCAATATATATAAACACACCCAAAATAAACCCAAAAATTGACAACTGTGGATTTCTTAAATTCAACAGCTATGTTGGATTACTGTTTTACCCTTTTGCTTTGTCTATTAATCAACTCAATCTTCATCAACACACATCTCGAACTTTCTTCTTCTTCAACAATCGAGCTTTGCTTCTGGCTTTTCTCCTAGTCCAATTCCCATTTAATCTTCATCATCTCCACCACAGCCCTCGCCGACTCCATCACCACAACCCGTCGCCGATTCACCTTCACCCAAAACTCTATCTCTGATTTCCCTTCCTCCATCTCTGTCGGACGCTCCAATGAACGCACCATCCTTCTTCATCTTCGACACTACCGCAATCATCTCCGTCGGCCAACGACACACCTCCAATTCCTTCTCTAGCCTCGTCGAATCCGAGCGATGTCAACCACAGCAACCTCAATGCAGACGGAGACGGAACTAAGAACTCCTCTGGAGGAATGAGTCTGGCAAAGAAGGCAGGGATCGTACTTGGATTGATCGTTGGATAAAATTCATC